CAATGAAATCAAGATGTGAACTGGTCATTGAAAATAATGGCGAAAGGATTTCTTATTAAAATATTATCAATAAAAATCATGATTTTAAGCTATCAAATGAGCCATTTTTCACACGAACTAATACAGTAGTTGTTTCACAATGTTCATTTAAAAATTTCCAATTTTTTTTGTAACACACTGTAAAATTAATGTTATCGGTGTATTATTAATAAAATTACTGTAATATATTAATATTTATTTATATACAAAAATGATATGATATGATTAAATATAATGAATGTGTGGATTGTTTTTTACCAAAAAAAATTAAAAAGAATATTTTTGTATTTAAGTTAATAATATAATGAATGTATTTATGTGTTAAATAAAAATCATTTTGTTGTAATTAAATGTGTGTAATTGTTATTATCATTTATATTGTCTCTATTAAACAACAAAATCTAATATTAATTCTAAATAATTATTTTAAATTTTAAATTTAACTTTTACTATTTACATATTATATTGATAAAAATTAATCAAAATATAATAAAATTTTTTTTAAAAAAAGAAAGTAATAAATAGAATTAATTATCTTGGACCCCGTGCCCATTTTGAAGGAATTTTGAATAAAATTTTCTTTTCTTCTAATCTTGAAGCGTTTGTTTCTGATTGAAAGGGTGGAGAATATGTGAAGTTTCTAGGTGATGGTGGAGGTATGGTGGAGTTTGTGGTGCTTGTGGCTATGATAGATTTTTTAGTTGATGACAATTTCAATGATTGTCTTAAAATTGGTTTATGCTTTGTTATTGACATCAGCAACCTGTGAGTTGTTGATTCTTGTGGATAAAAGAAACTAGGTGAACATTCGAATGATAAAGGATTCATTATACGATCACCACCGCGTGATCTTAATCTGTTGACTTCGTTACTGTCGTTGTCTTTGGTTGAATAGGTGAATTTGTATGGAACTTTAAGATGATTTGAACCGTTACCGATTCTATAAACATTTTGAATTTTTTGGAAAGTTTGATTTCTTGATTTTATCGACAATTGACATGATTTTTGTAATAAATTAACATAAGCTTGTGACTTCTCGTCTTCTTTATCGTTGTCGTTGTTGACATTGTCGTTATAAGTAACTTTCCATAATGTAGGTTTGCGTAAGATTGTTGAATGATAAAATTTATTATTCTGCAATTCGTTCTCATTATTGTCTTGGCCGTTTGTTGTAGGCTTGAAAATGAAATCTCCATTTTGTTGATTTATACAGTCAAAAATAAAATTTACGTTAAATCTCCATCGTTGTTCTTGTTCAAAATGAAGAGTTAAACCAATCTTGCGCTCTTCAAATTTTTTCTCTAAAGCAATTTCAGCCAAGATTTTAAACTTTTGACAAACATTGCATAAATTTATTAATGTTTCGATATCAAGGTTTGAAAATATTATTAATAATAATTCATTTGGGAAATTAGAAAGTGATGAATGTGAAAAAATGTTGTTAATGGATTGCATGTTTGTAATGTATTTTATTATATTAAAACGATGTAAATAAAAAATAAATTTTATTCTTGACCAGCAAAAAATTATCAAGGTAGGTTTTTAAATTGAATAATTTTTTTTTATAATATAAAAATTAAATTCCTTCCATTCTTTTTATAATGGATATCAAATATCAAAAAGGCTAATTGGATTTTTGTTTGTTTGTAAATAACAAAGCGAGAAAAATCAATGGAAAATATATTTATATTCATATTTGGCACGTGTATACGGCACATTCCCCAATTTGATAAGTTCAAAAAAAATACTAATTGGTGGTTGGTGCACTGTTCACTTCGGTTTTTGTATTTCCAAATAAATGATTTTTACAATCACATTGATGGTCCATTTTACAAATTAGAATATACATGTATTGTGGTTGCGTTTGTCTATAAAATAATTTTTTGGTGAATTGGTTAATTAATTAGTTGTGGGGGTGGCGGTAAATAGATAAATTTTCAGTGTAATATATATATTGATATATATCTTAGAAGGTGATTACTGGTCGGTCGTAAAACTTTTTATTTTGTGACACAATTAAAATTAGAATGAAAAACAAATCGTTTTAACAAGCAATATTTAGCAAAAAAACTAACGAGTAAACATTATTTTTCCTCAAATTTTTCCCTCCCACAAAAAAGTAAATATTATTGTTACACTTGCTCAAAATTCAAATCTAATTTTAGATTGCTGACACGATCGCACAATGCATGCTGTGGCACGAGGATCAAAATTTTGTTTTATATAGTTGGCTCGGTCTAAAGACCTCCTAAATTTTGAGCAAATTTTAAAAGTATAGAAGTCATTTTCTGTCCTACATTTTAAAAAAATAGCGTCATTAGTTGATAGAATAGGTCTTTAGTTTTAATGTAATAACGAGATATTCTCAAAAAAATTCTTTGTTGTAGAGTTCTATTCTTTTTTAAAACATGTACTTTACTATGCTCGCGAGGAATTTGTCCACTAAGATCATTGCTAAATTTAGACTATTTTTTGATCATCCTTACTAAATTTAGACTAATACTCGACCATCATATCTAAATTTGGCAGTAAGGAAAATAATTTTTTAACCAAAATCATGTGAAACCCTTTTTTTAAAAAATTTTATTGCATTTTTGAACGAATCACGAAATTTCTATTTTTGAAATTTGTCCACGTGGCGCAGCAATAGGAGGTCTTTAGACCGAGCCAACCATATATGGTGCAGGTCATCTATACTCATCAAAAATGTAGATCATTCCGAAATTTCAGATACAGTTGACTCTGTTTATACCGAACCCCCTGTTCTGAGAATTTTTGTTCGTTATAGCCAGAGTTCGTTATAGCCAGCTAGATGTGTCACGTGATGGTAACATATATAATAAATAATTTAATTCAATAGCCGTTTATTATATTTATTGATCAGAAAGCTTATTTATAAGAATTATTTTTAAATATGAAGTTATAAAACATTCTTTTACAAACAGACTTTACTATCAAATATAAATAAAATGTAGATATAAATATAACTATTAAATATAAATAAATGTAGATATAAATATAAATAAAAATACTATCAATCTATCCAGAAGATTGATAGTATATGAATATTTGAACCCAAACACAATATTATATTCAAATAAAAATAAACTGCCAAAGCTACTCAATCATTTTATCCTCAAAATAGTGATTTAAGTCAGTTTGTTTAAGATTTTTTTGAATAACTAACCCAATCCGTCTATTTAATCCTCTCAAAATCTTTACTTCTTCACCAACCTCACCAAATTCTGGTCCTTGCTGATACAAATACTTTAAAACAGTATCTACTGACTCTTTAGCTACTTTATTACTTATTATCTCGATTTCTTCCATTGATTCAACTTCCTCTTCGCTACTCTGTTCCTCCTGGTTTACCATTTCTATTATATCCTCATCAGTGAGGTCTGTCCAAACATTCTCATCCTCAACATGAATGTATTCATTTGCTGAAAGATTGTTACTATTTGGTAACTTTTCAAGAAGCATTTCCAAATCTTTCTCCTCATCCTCGTCATTAATACTGAAAGGTTCAGTGATTGTTCTTTCTGGAAGAATGCCAGTTTTTAACCAGCAATTATGTATTGTTTGTTGTGATACATTAGACCATGCTTCTGCTGCATTTATTAAAGCATTATATACAGTATAATCAGCAAGTTTATCTGTAGTACCATCTTGAAAGTCGTCATATGCTTTAATTCGATTTTGAACAAATAGAGCTCTATATTTACATTTAAAGGAATGGATGATCCCAGCGTCACAAGGTTGAAGAAAAGTTGTAGTATTTGGTGGAAGAAATTCAACCTTTACATTATCCAATTTTTCTGCAATTTCTTCAAGAATAATATGCACTGGTGCATTGTCAATTAGCAATAGAATATTTCTATTTTGTTTTTTCATATTGTTGTTAAGTGTAAGGAGAATTTCGTTAAAAATGCTAACTTGCATCCAAGCTGTTTTATTCCAATAGTAATAAACAGGCAAGTTATTGTAATTTAATTTTTTCATTGCTCGAGGTCTCCGATGTTTGTGAATGAAACTAAGCTTCATCTTCTCTGTTCCCAGAGAATTTGCAGCAAAAAAAATTGAAACTCGAGATTTATCTTTTTTGTGACCTGATAGTTTAGCATGAGCCAAAACACGTGAAGGTTCCATCTTCCAAAAGAGGCCAGTTTCATCACCATTCCAAATATTTTCAGGACTATAAGCACCAAGAAGTGTCTGCAATGAAATCCGTTCGTTTTCTAATTGTTCAACAGATGGTGCACTTGCAGATTCACCTTGCTTTCTGAATTGACGAAGTCCATGACGATTTTTAAAGCCTGTCAACCACCCATCTGATGAATTAAAATCATTGATTGAAAATTGGGTTGCAAAATGGTTTGCTTTCTCTTTTAAAATATTGCCAGTAATGTCTTGTTGTGCATTAAGTGCATTATCAACCCAAATATTAAGAGCTCTTTCAAGTAGTGGCCACTTAGGTCCACGAAATTTTTTCAAATTATCTTGTTCAATTGTAATAGCAAGCCAACGTTCTTTCTCACTTAAGATATCAGTCACTGTTGCTTTCCCAATATTGTATTGTCTGGCAAGTTCTACGTTGCTTAAACTTGGATTATTTTTTTTCGCCTCACAAAGTTCACGTTTTTGGGCAGCAGAAAGACTTGTTCTTTTTCGAGTTGACATTTTATTTATTAAAATAAAAGAAACAAATGAATAGAAATAAAACAAATAAAAGAAACAAAGGTATAAAGAATTATGAAATATAATTTATGTATTGCTACCAAATCAACTGGAAATTGAGGGTATTTATAATAAAATATCAACATTACTAATCACGCGAATTATTTTTTTTTTACAAAAAGTCATGACGTAATATTATTAATACTAATACTAAATATTTAATAATAATTAATAATATGTAATTAATTTGACAATAGTTTGATTGAATGATTTTGTTAAATAAAACTCTTTTGTAATACATAGTGTTGGTCGTTTACTCAAATAAGATATAATGTCATCATAAGCTCCTTGATGTTCTAAATCATGTGGACATAGGATATTTAGTGATTCATTATTACCATCAAGACCACCTTGATCATTTTTTTGATGAAAATGACCATATCATCACATATATCAAACTGACATTTAACATTTTGTATGTTCACCACCATGAGGACAAAATACTAAACAGACCCATATAAATACTCTCCTAGAAAGACCTTCGGGTATATCTTTTGATGTTGATGGGTGATTCAGAATTTGTTTGATTTCATCTGGTGAAAGTGTGTCAGCCTTCTTTGTAGAAATCTTACCCTGTTCCTTAAGATCACATAGCTTTCCATTTAAAGTTTTATATAAGTCTAGATAGTTTTGCTCACATGCATTTCCATTTAAGGTAATTTGATCTTTAATTACACTGTGACTTTTCAAATGTCTATCAATTGCAGTGATACAATTTTTTAATGACAAATATTCTTCGCCATCATCTCTTCGCACACCAACAACAAATTCACATAATTGTTTTTCTAATATTTTTTTGTCGTTAACCAATTCAATTGGAATTCCATTATGATGTTTTTCTCTATAGTTAGTTAAAACCTTAACCCAGAATTCAGTATTTTTTTTCGTAGTTAATGGTATACCAGCTTCTTGAATGTCTTTTATTTGTTGATCAGTTGGAAGAAATGACATGTCAAAGTTGGGTGGTATTTGTTTCTATGGTACAACAAACAAGAATTTTTTTTAGTTTATAATTTGACAATACAACAAACAAATATTTATTTACTTACTCGTGTTGCTTTTGGCATTTTTATGAATGGAACAATAAAATTAGGATTTGAAAATTATTTAATAATGATAAAAAAGAATGTGCATTTTAAGCTCTGAATAAGTGTTTACAATAAACCAGTTATTGCATGCATCACATGTCAATAATCACGTTAATAAAATTAAAAAATCGAAGAATGAATTTAATAATTGGCTGATTTTTCCATTATTGCATGCTCCGCATGCAATAACTTTAATTTATTCATTATTAATCAATTTAACATTTTTATTATTTTATATATTTTTTTACTGTTAATCAAAAAAGTACTTTCAATATTTCAATAATTTCAAATTCTTCAATTTAATAATGATCATGTTGAGTAATATTGTGACTTTGGTAATGAGATTGTGAAGAATTATGAAATGTAATCATTGTTGAAAAACAATATTGATATTGATGATGTGTGTTTGATATAAAATTTGTAAGTTTATAAAATTCAGGCTTGTATATAATATAACTTCAAAATCTCCGATATATTTCCTTGGATTCCAAACAAATTGTCATATTTTGAAAAATAATCATTGGTAATTAACAATGACTTTCCATCATCATCAATTAACTAGTAGTTGCAACTGCAAAACATACTAAAATACTCTTTAAAACCTCCATATTCCATAATAATAACCTAATCTAAGATGACTTGACCATTTCCAATGTTTATATAGTCCAATTTAGTAAATATATTATTTGTTTGGCATTCTTCCAAAATGAGTATTCATTTTTTAAAATATTAATATACAATAATGTGAAAACTGTTAAACGGATAATTATAAACTTTGAAAAAAAAATCACTATTTAAAACTTTATGACAAAATTGACAATTAATGAGCATTTGCTATGGATAAAGCTCCTCGTAGCCAGCTTGCGAACCAGCTTACGCAAAGGTTCTTTCTTTCTTTTCTAAAGTGGCCACATTTATTATTTGGAAAACACATTCCTCAATTAATCCAAATCTAGCATGCCACCATTTGATTAATTAGACAAAAAGATATACTGGGTGAATAAAGGTTTGCATCCAAATTTCTTTTGGACTTTAAAATCAATTTTTGCGAATTTTATGTTATTTAAAAGCACCGTTTCTTATAAACACATGTATTATTTGCTTTTGAAAAAAAAAAAAGTGATATCGAATTGTGAAATTGATTTTTCTTTTCTCTTTTAATAATTAGTTGGCCGCTTATTTTTGACATTCATCTGGTAATTTTCGTATTAGAGTTCCATGTCGCAACCCAAAAAAGGAACAAAATGGTTGTAAAGGTAGTTGCAATCATTTTTATATGACGCAAAGATGTAGCAACCATCATCAAAAGTTGCAGCCGGTATTCCTTATTTCGTATAAAATTTGTTTTCTCAAAAGATTTTCTAATTCATCTTTATTTTCGAACGCATAATATGGTTTTTTTAATCTTCTAGAAAGCTCGTCCCATAGGTGTTAATATTGGATTAAGGTCAGGAGATTGAGAATGTCAATTTTCCGGAATCATTGTCCTTTTTCCAGGTAAACATTTTATAACGTTTTTGGCTGTATGGGCAGTCTTGAAATTTATAATGAAGAAAATTTGTAATGAATGAATGGAAACAAATCGTCCTCTAAAATATTTATAAAATATTTATGGTTCATTTTCCCCTCTACTCCCATCAATAGTTTAGTTGTAAAATAACACTTATACTAAGCCATAATTCCATAGTTGTAGTTGACAAAGTTTCAATATTAAAACGAGTCCCATTTTCGCGCCAAATTCGTATCCACGAAATATTGTAAAACGACTCTAATCATTCAATATGACACTTCTCTACTGTCTTATGGTCCAGTTTAATCTATCAATACACCATTAAAATTGTTTTTGTCATTGTGTTTTATTAAAAAGTGTTTTATGCTGTATTGATTTCTTATAAAATATTTTAAGCCAGCAGATCGATTGAGATTACTAGAAACAGCTTATTATTATCAGCAACAATTTCCTTCAAATATTTTTTTTAATAATTTTTATAACGCTGAATCACCGTTGGAACTGAGAAATCAAGAATGTCACTAATTTCTTTTCTTGTATGACCGGCCACCTTTGAAAAGACCAATAAATTGAGATTTTTCAGATTACATTAAGCAAGTTCATGGTTCTTTACCATTTTTAAACATATATTTGCCATCATTAGTCATAATTACAAGGATATTATTTGAATGTCTACACAGTACTGGTATAAAAGACTTGATTCATAAAAATTTCATATAACGAAATGATTATAATAGTGCAATATCATCACAATGACTTCAATATGCCATGATGCTTAAAAGACGAGGCGATAATGATCCTGATTTGAGTTTTTCAAGAGAAATCTAAAAAATTTTTTTTTGATTTTGTTCAAGATATATATGTCCGTTGATAATACCTAGATACAATGGATAACGTAAAAATTAGAATATTGATTTAGAATTGTCAATAAATTAAAAAGAGGAATTCCTCAAGAAAAAGTACAAACAAGAAAATATTTGATATAATAAAAATGAATTTATTTATTTTGTCAACTTTTTAGTATTAGTATATAACTAATATCATGTGATTTTATTATAAGGTCAAGATATCTCGCTTCTCGATTTAGCGGATGAATTGTTCTGAAACATATCCGTTAAATCGAGATTCGCTATGAGTTGTGTATACACAATATTAATACTTTTTTTTTAAGCTGGGTAAAAATTTTTTAATGTGGCATTCCCCCACCGATGTTTCATTCTGAAATAATTAATAATGTACAAACTGAGTTTAATATATACCTATACCATAATAATAATGACTAGTGAAACTCTTACTTAGTACAATAACGAGACAAAAGACTTGGGATAGTTAATTCATACATCAAAATCATGCGTGTGGCATATTTTGCAGAAACTGTTCGTAACCGGTTTTTGGTTAGTTGGATATGAACATTTAAATAGGATTTTTTTAAAAAAATTGGTTCCATATCAATTATTTTGTCATTAATAGTCATAAAAAAGGGCTAAATAATTTATATTTAAAAGGATTGCGGGATTTTTTTTTTTTTAGATATGAAGAAAAGGATATATCTTTGATATCAAAGACGTGAAGTAAAATTTATTACGCCGTTTACATTTCTTATTATAATAAATAATTGAATATTAGAATCTTTCTAATTATTAAAGGCAACATAAATATTGAGGGTGAAAATTAAAATAATTTCACATAAATATTTTAATAATTTATTATCCTTTATTTTTTCTTGCATTTATCTCTTTATTTATCAACAATAATCGCCATCACATAAAAACAGCTCTTAATCAATTTGAAAACACAAAAAATCAACATTGGGCTTAAATATTTAAAATATTCCTTGTGTCAAAGGCTAATCTGATCATCACCTTCCTAAGATATGATGATGCAATTTAAACTTCATTGTAGCTCTGAAATTTAGCTGAAAATTGCATCATTATCAAAGAAACTGACTTCAAAGGGCCTCTTTGATCGAAGCCTTCAAATTTGCAGCGCTTGCTTATTTTGTATAGTGCTGGAACATTTCTTGCATTTTTGCATCGCAGCTCGTTTTTTTGTAAATTGAAATATTTTTACTAAATCTACTTGATAAGTTAGATTTAATATAGCACATTTTCTTTTTCTTGAAAGGGACTCTGATTCGTATTATTATTATATAAAATTTCCACTTGAACATAATGCAAAATTACTAATTGTGCTTTAACGAATTTTTACATATGAAGCAAAAAAATTTTTTTTTCAAAATGGAAGCTCGCGCTCACTTGTAAATCATAACCATCAACAAAGGTTATATTTATTCTAGCATATATTATGGACGTAATTTATGAATTTATAAAATATTTTGACAATAATAAAATATAATGAAAATGATTTTAATCATGAATATGAATATTCGAATCAGGGACAATGATTTTCTACATAACGCAGAATGCCGCAGAAATCATGGTCTGTTTAATCTACATTACAGAATACTGCAGACAATATAAAAATGGGGAATTTAATGTGTGACATGATAATTTTTTTTACAATCAATACTAGAGTAGAAGTGAATTTCATATTGACAATAGAATTTTTTTTTTGTGACCATTCTGTTGATTGAGTACGAAAGTCAACGGTTGATGATTACCTTAGTAGCAAATAAACAACGTCAACTTTAGCAAACACTTGACAGCTCTCTTTCTTCTTCTGAATCTAAAGAGAATGAATTGTGGATTCATGTTTAATATAGAAGTTGCATTAGATGAATATTGGTCAAATATGGCCGAAAATTTATCCTTTTATCTCAATAGTATTTGAATATATATGGTTACCAATTTCTTCTTGTAGTGTGGAGCAAAGTTTTTATAAATATAATTCAATTTTATATGATAATCAACAAAATTTATCAGTAGGATCTTTACGAAATTTATTTTTAGGTTTTCCATTTTGTAATATGTTTTAAATAAGAAAAATAACAAATTAAATAATAATAATAACTAATTTAATGGTCGCGTAACTATTCTTTCTGATTACACACTACCAAATCGTTTAATTATAGATTCGTTTTTGAAAAAAACAAACTTAAAACCATAGAATTACTGCAGAATGCATAGATATTAATATCGCAGAATATGGTAATAATAATAGTAATTATATAGTGTTTTTTAATGCACGGCATGCATGCGGCGTAGCAGAAAATCTGGTTACACATATGAATTATTTTGATACTAATACTACATACCAAACTAGGAATGCTAAAAATAACCATTATGGCCGCCCAATCGTGTTTCGGACATGTGACCTAACCTCTCTATTTTGTTTTTGTTCATATTAATTAATTTTAAAAGAAAACGTCACTTTTTTGACCAAGTGAAAGAACAACCAATAAACCATTTAATTTTATATTAATATTTCGGGTCTTGTTTATAATAGTAGAGGTTCCATTCACAATACAAATTATTATTCGAATTATTCCTTCTTCTTTTTTTGTTTTATTCGAATTACTCGTTTATTCGCTGTTTATTTATTCGCTTTATTCGTTTTATTCATTTTATTCGAATTACTCGATTTATTCAAGTTATTCGTTGTTTTATTCGTTTTATTCGAATTACTAGTTTTATTCGTTTTATTTAATATTAACATTGTGCATTGTTGTTGTTGATCATGATCATTGCTGATTTGGTATGTAGTACCGAATATTCATTTGAATATTAATATACAGTTGACTCTGTTTATACCGAACCCCCTGTTCTGAGAATTTTTGTTCGTTATAGCCAGAGTTCGTTATAGCCAGCTAGATGTGTCACGTGATGGTAACATATATAATAAATAATTTAATTCAATAGCCGTTTATTATATTTATTGATCAGAAAGCTTATTTATAAGAATTATTTTTAAATATGAAGTTATAAAACATTCTTTTACAAACAGACTTACTATCAAATATAAATAAAATGTAGATATAAATATAACTATTAAATATAAATAAATGTAGATATAAATATAAATAAAAATACTATCAATCTATCCAGAAGATTGATAGCATATGAATATTTGAACCCAAACACAATATTATATTCAAATAAAAATAAACTGCCAAAGCTACTCAATCATTTTATCCTCAAAATAGTGATTTAAGTCAGTTTGTTTAAGATTTTTTTGAATAACTAACCCAATCCGTCTATTTAATCCTCTCAAAATCTTTACTTCTTCACCAACCTCACCAAATTCTGGTCCTTGCTGATACAAATACTTTAAAACAGTATCTACTGACTCTTTAGCTACTTTATTACTTATTATCTCGATTTCTTCCATTGATTCAACTTCCTCTTCGCTACTCTGTTCCTCCTGGTTTACCATTTCTATTATATCCTCATCAGTGAGGTCTGTCCAAACATTCTCATCCTCAACATGAATGTATTCATTTGCTGAAAGATTGTTACTATTTGGTAACTTTTCAAGAAGCATTTCCAAATCTTTCTCCTCATCCTCGTCATTAATACTGAAAGGTTCAGTGATTGTTCTTTCTGGAAGAATGCCAGTTTTTAACCAGCAATTATGTATTGTTTGTTGTGATACATTAGACCATGCTTCTGCTGCATTTATTAAAGCATTATATACAGTATAATCAGCAAGTTTATCTGTAGTACCATCTTGAAAGTCATCATATGCTTTAATTCGATTTTGAACAAATAGAGCTCTATATTTACATTTAAAGGAATGGATGATCCCAGCGTCACAAGGTTGAAGAAAAGTTGTAGTATTTGGTGGAAGAAATTCAACCTTTACATTATCCAATTTTTCTGCAATTTCTTCAAGAATAATATGCACTGGTGCATTGTCAATTAGCAATAGAATATTTCTATTTTGTTTTTTCATATTGTTGTTAAGTGTAAGGAGAATTTTGTTAAAAATGCTAACTTGCATCCAAGCTGTTTTATTCCAATAGTAATAAACAGGCAAGTTATTGTAATTTAATTTTTTCATTGCTCGGGGTCTCCGATGTTTGTGAATGAAACTAAGCTTCATCTTCTCTGTTCCCAGAGAATTTGCAGCACAAAAAATTGAAACTCGAGATTTATCTTTTTTGTGACCTGATAGTTTAGCATGAGCCAAAACACATGAAGGTTCCATCTTCCAAAAGAGGCCAGTTTCATCACCATTCCAAATATTTTCAGGACTATAAGCACCAAGAAGTGTCTGCAATGAAATCCGTTCATTTTCTAATTGTTCAACAGATGGTGCACTTGCAGATTCACCTTGCTTCTGAATTGACGAAGTCCATGACGATTTTTAAAGCCTGTCAACCACCCATCTGATGAATTAAAATCATTGATTGAAAATTGGGTTGCAAAATGGTTTGCTTTCTCTTTTAAAATATTGCCAGTAATGTCTTGTTGTGCATTAAGTGCATTATCAACCCAAATATTAAGAGCTCTTTCAAGTAGTGGCCACTTAGGTCCACGAAATTTTTTCAAATTATCTTGTTCAATTGTAATAGCAAGCCAACGTTCTTTCTCACTTAAGATATCAGTCACTGTTGCTTTCCCAATATTGTATTGTCTGGCAAGTTCTACGTTGCTTAAACTTGGATTATTTTTTTTCGCCTCACAAAGTTCACGTTTTTGGGCAGCAGAAAGACTTGTTCTTTTTCGAGTTGACATTTTATTTATTAAAATAAAAGAAACAAATGAATAGAAATAAAACAAATAAAAGAAACAAAGGTATAAAGAATTATGAAATATAATTTATGTATTGCTACCAAATCAACTGGAAATTGAGGGTATTTATAATAAAGTATCAACATTACTAATCACGCAAATTATTTTTTTTTTTACAAAAAGTCATGACGTAATATTATTAATACTAATACTAAATATTTAATAATAATTAATAATATGTAATTAATTTGACAATAGTTTGATTGAATGATTTTGTACTGAGTGGCAAAGATTACGTTTTTTTTGATATCTTAAAATGTTTAATCAAAAACGAAATTTTGCATTATGTTACACATGATATTACATGTGTTCACGTGAAAATTCGTTATAGGAAGAGCAAATTAAATATGAAACTTCAAAAAGGTGAGTTCGGATTCGTTATAAACAGATTTATTAATAAAGTTCGTTATAAACAGATTTATTAATTAATAAAAATTCGGTTCTGGAGATTTGATTCACTATATCCAGAGTTCGGTATAGCCAGGTTCGGTATAGCCAGAGTCAACTGTAGTTGGTTATATTAAATAAGGTTAGACAGAAAATTTTTTACTGATTACTATTACTATTACTATATATATCGATTGTATTATATATTTCTAGAAACGAACAAACAATAATTATTATCAATAATAATTTTAGCAAAACAACAATATATTGATTGCGTATAGTAAATAGTATAGTAAATAAACATAAACACAATACAATCGATCAACAAATATTCAACAAAATGAATACATTTTTGTGTACATTTATCAGAATTACAGATGTTGTTATTAGTAGATAGAGAGCATTGGGATTGTTTATTATTAACGAAAAAAAAAATAATCTCATTATCATTACCATCACAAGATTATCGTAATCAGTACTTATTATTTATCATTGTCAAATTTGAGTATAAATACTAGGGACGGGCAAGCGTATACGCACTGAACGCATTATACATCCTTAATAAATTAATACTAAGAATCTTTTATTTAATTTTTCATAAAAATGGATACATTACATGTTATGTTGAATTTCATGCCGCAATTCGTATTGAGTTGCCTCCTATCTATAGCCGTGATAGGCACGTCGCCGTACGAATCATTCAGGTCGAAGTTGGTCTGGATGTTTCGATGTTTAGGGTGTCCATTCGAAGGCTTGCAATCCTTTTGCAGCGTGGGAAATAAAAAAACAGCAATAACTACATTTTGGCTGTCAGCGGCCTATTTCAAGAATAACGAAAACGGAATACGGCCAGTCGGTCATCATTTCATGGAAGTTGACAAAAAAAATTTAAACGAAGATGTGAAGGCTATTTTGAAAGATTGTACAGCAAAACCGTCTGTACTTGATGTGTTCTCATCATTGGTATCATTGTCCTATACATTAAATGGGATATTCACAGGAATAGCTAGGGCAACTAGTACATGCGTAGAAGATGATTGGACATTCATACCATTGGTGCTGGCATGGACATTGCCAGCAATTTGTTTGAGGATCTTTAGCAGAAGGGAAATAGTAATCAGAGAACCTAAAATAAGGATAGAAAGATTGTTAAAAGGATGCAGAGAAAAGTTCAAAAAATACAAAGAAAAACGATTGGGAGAATGGGCAAAAGGATCAGAAGGTGAAAATGATGATTTGGAAGAATTAGAAAAAAAAATAAAAATTGAATTGGAAGAGTTGGAAAATGAAGTATATTGGTTTAATAACTATGATGAATTAAAAAGTGATTTAGATGAGTTAGAAAAAATGCTGTCAGAAAAACAAATACCTTTAAAACAACTCCATTATGTAGATTTATGTTTGATAAGAGTTGAAGTTTTTATGGTTTTTGCATTCGCATTAATGGTTCCTTGGATAGCAGTTTTGATAGCCTATTTCACTCCTCCCATAGGCTATGGCTGTCGGAGCATGTATTTTACATTTTTCTGTTCAATATGGTCAGTAAATTCCATTTTGGCATACGCACTCCATTTGAAAGGGAACAAAAATGTAATCGATAATTGGATCATCAATATATGGTTCTGTTTCAGTGGTCTAGTAGTAGCAGTTGCCTTAATTTTTCTAGTTCTTTTAAGCCATACAAAGATATGGTGGGTTGTAGTCTTTGGTGATTTTTGCAGTGTTAATGATTCATGCACGGGGACATGATTAAAAAAATACCTATACGATGTATACCAACTATTATCTTTATTTATATTAATTTATTAATTTATTATTTATCTATTTATATTTTCATTGAAACAATTTCCGAAATTGACTTTTAATTTTATTCATAGAAACAAATGTAATAAAACTAGACATTTACTTTATATGTGTGTATGAATATACGAATATTATTAATCGATGAATGTGTTTATAAATCTACGAGAAACATAGCCTGAGAAGTAATTAATTCATATTAATATAGAATGAAATTATAACCGAGCGATACCATCAATATATCTATTCACTACGAATATAGTAATAATAATGATAATCAGGTTATCATTATAATATCGTCATTTTAACCATCAGTCATCAAGTTGACGTTTCTTAATGATGTCGTTAATATATATTTATAATAAATAGAATTAATTTTTTTTAGCACCTCAACACTGTATAAATCAAAATCGAAGAATCCTAATACACTAAAAGTATATTAAAACCTTATATTGACACCAACTCCATATAAAATAATTGATGTTTGAGATGGGAGATATTGAATAATTAAAAAAAATGATGAAACAAGAAATGATGAAAACAAAACATTAATATCACAATTGAACAATTTTTACAACCGAATTAAATGGTTCCTAATCATTTTAAAAAAATCACATCTGAAATAACAAACAATTTTCTTGAACAACAATAACATAGGAGTACACCAACAAAACCATCCATTAGCCTGTCGCTCATATGCGATATGATAAAAATACACTGCTAATTTAATTAATGCTAATAATAATAAGGACCTCATTCTAAAATATCCCACCATAAGAACGTTATGATTAGCCTGGCAATTTGTCAGATGGATGTGAGGAGGATAGATTCGATAATGAAAAATGGGAGAGCTAACACTTTTAAAAAATAAAATGATTGTTATATTATTTTCCTAAATATTTTGTTAGAGGGAAAATCAATTAATCAAAATTTATTTTGTAATAATATCTGATATTTATATATATACAATTTTAAATGCAACCTTGATATTATTTTTATTCTTTGATCCAATCATTCATCCACTTCCTAACACTATCCATAACATCCTTGACATTTTCTTCATTATAATTTTTAAATTTAGCTCACCAGCTTTTAATAACTAATAAAATACATTTACTATACTCGAGTCGGCAAGCTCATTCATTTCCATTTTTTCATTTTCTTTTGTTATTTGATTGACGGTGATAACGCGATATGGTTGTACAAAGTAAAAGAACTCCTAGTGTTTTTGGACGCGATTTTTTTTTTTTGGAAAAAACAAATGAATTTCAAACCGTGATTAAACCTCAGTTTAAACTCCGATTTGAAATTGAGCTGGTTGCTAATAAAAAAAATCTAATTTACTTAGGTTGTTAAAATATACAGTTTAGTCAAAATTTTGATAAACTGTGTAAATTTTAAATTTATTTTTTACCAGTGTGTTATTCTTTGTAAAAAACCGGATAATTCCTCTTCATCCTTCTCATATTCTTTTAGTATATATAAAATTCTAATGTGTAGCCAACCAATTTTATTATTTGTCTCATTTTTTAACAACTCGTCACGTTATAACCACTGTTTTAAATATATACTTTTAATCTTCTAAATTTAGTGATGCTTCCATAAAAAAATTATTTCAAATAATAGCAATATACTCAATCAACGTCACGATGAATTTCTGCTAATACTATATATATCATTGGAAACTGGTCTTCTTATTAATGGATAATATGGTATTTGAAAATAATCAAGTTCTTTGAGTATTTTGTTTCCTTCTTAATCAATCATCCTCATTATTATTGCCACTGCAGGCTTTAACATATATTGTTTCTCTTATGAAACATTGTACCAAGTAGTATCTTGGATATGCTGTTAATGTATATTTTATTACTGTATAACTTCCTTAGGAATGAGTGTGAAAATGCATTTATGGAGGGATCTAGGCAGAGAAAGAATAATATATTGATCAATTTTTCATTGTTATAAAATATAAATAAAAATCGGATCACATTATAAATTGTAAATGTCGATCTTTTCACTCTTTCATAAGCAGATCGTCAATTAAATATTTTGTTAGTTCCTCAAAAAATACTTATTATTTCAAATTTTCTTTAATCTTAAGAATTATATTTGGATTATCATCAATAAATACACTAGAATCAGAGCATCAATTAGAAATGGGAATTAATATAATATATAAAGATGAAAATTAAAGTGTCTATTCTACAACAACAACAACAACAACAATAAATAAATAACATTACATTACAGGAGAATTGTTTGTTACACACCATTGCAAAAAAATTCATTTTCTCTATTCATTAAAACACAATAAATAAAAACATTTTTATTTTTATAAAATGTCATATTATAAATTATTATCAGTAGAAAGAAAGGATTTTGTATATAAAATTTATAATGGAATGTATAATAATGCATTGGCTAATTCTGACAGAGAAAACAGAAAAGATTATTTTTTTTCATTAATCAAGAAAATCAAAGAGCTTTCTGAAAATGAAAAAGAATATTGTAAAGAAAGGTTTATTTATGACTATGAATTAGAGAGCGCAGAGCATAAAAAAGGCAATCCAAGAAAATGTAACAAGTGTAAATTGACAAAATATTCTGATAGGTTCTGTGAAGGTTGTATTAGATTACAATTACAAAGTCTTTTCACCACCTGGACATCTGGGGATGACATAGTTGATAAATTTATTCAACAATGTCAAATGAAATCATCTTTGCCCACCCATATCTTAGAATGGATACCTTTTGAGCAATTTAAAGATATAACCAAATTAACTGAAGGTGGATTTAGTTCAATTTATAAAGCTATATGGACAAGAGGTCATATAACTGATTATGATGAAAATAAAAAGGAATTTAGTTATGCTGGTTCTCGATATGTAGTATTAAAAAGTTTAAATAATTCAAATAATCCAGGA